TGATGGTGATGATGGGGATGGTGATGATGGTGATGGTGATGATGGTGATGGTGATGATGGTGATGATGGTGATGATGGTGATGATGGTGATGATGATGGTGATGATGGTGATGATTATGATGGTGATGATTATGATGGTGACGATGGTGATGATGGTGGTGATGATGGTGGTGGTGATGATGATGGTGATGATGATGATGGTGATGATGATGGTGATGATGGTGATGATGATGGTGATGATGATGATGGTGATGATGGTGATGATGGTGATGGTGATGATGGTGATGATGGTGATGATGGTGATGATGATGATGATGGTGATGATGGTGATGATGATGGTGATGATGATGGTGATGATGATGGTGATGATGGTGATGATGATGACGATGATGATGGTGATGATGATGATGGTGATGATGATGGTGATGATGGTGATGATGATGACGATGATGGTGATGGTGATGATGATGATGGTGATGATGGTGATGATGATGACGATGATGGTGATGATGATGGTGATGATGATGGTGATGATGATGGTGATGATGATGATGGTGATGATGGTGATGATGATGATGGTGATGATGGTGATGATGATGATGGTGATGATGATGGTGATGATGATGGTGATGATGGTGATGATGATGATGGTGATGATGGTGATGATGATGATGGTGATGATGATGATGGTGATGATGATGATGATGCTACTCCACTGCTACTCCGCTGCTCTTGACGTGGCTTGTCTGGGCTCGACCACCTTGAATGTGGAGTTGTAAATTGTCTACATCAGCAGCCGTGCGGAACAGAGAAGAGGTGGATGGGGATGGGTGGGTGAATGATTGTGTGTGTGGGTGTGTGGGTGTCTGTGTGTGTGTAGGTGTGTGTGTGTGTGTAGGTGTGTGTGTGTGTGTGGGTGTCTGTGTGTGTGTAGGTGTGTGTGTGTAGGTGTGTGTGTGTAGGTGTCTGTGCCTGTAGGTGTGTGTGTGTGTAGGTGTGTGTGTAGGTGTGTGTGTGTGTAGGTGTGTGTGTAGGTGTGTGTGTAGGTGTGTGTGTGTAGGTGTATGTGTAGGTGTGTGTGTGTAGGTGTGTGTGTAGGTGTGTGTGTGTGTAGGTGTGTGTGTAGGTGTGTGTGTGTAGGTGTGTGTGTAGTGGTTAGCGCTACGCTGCGCTACGAACCCGGCGTCCAGCGTTCGATTCCCGCTCACGGCCAACACCAGTGACGATTATCTGAACCGGTCCCGGGGCCTCCCCTAGGTCGACTCAGCCTGAACAATCGAGCACCTGGCGCGGTGTGTAGTCAAACCTGTCAGCCCCTTATCAGTGCCCTACCTGATTACAGACCAACTCAGATCTTATTGGTCACCCCGTGCCCCTTATAAATCTCAACGTTCATCCTACAAAGTCCCATCACAAGGGAGAAACACAAATAGACATCGCATGGACCAGAAAACTCCCATTTCCCTGTACAAGAGTACGGGGGACATAAACCGTGTGGGTTGATACGGGGTGTGTGTAGGTGTGTGTAGGTGTGTGTGTGTAGGTGTGTGTAGGTGTGTGTGTGTAGGTGTGTGTGTGTAGGTGTGTGTGTGTGTAGGTGTGTGTGTAGGTGTGTGTGTAGGTGTGTGTGTAGGTGTGTAGGTGTGTGTGTATGTGTGTGTGTAGGTGTGTAGGTGTGTCGGTGTGTGTGTAGGTAGGTGTGTAGGTGTGTGTGTAGGTGTGTGTAGGTGTGTGTGTAGGTGTGTAGGTGTGTGTGTAGGTGTGTGTAGGTGTGTGTGTAGGTGTGTGTAGGTGTGTCGGTGTGTAGGTGTGTAGTACAACATCGTCAGTGACACTTGAACTCTTCATGGGAGCAACACCACCATTACCATCACCACCATCACCACCATCATTACCATCACCACCATCATCATCATTACCATCATCACCACCATCATCATCACCGTCATCATCACCGCCATCACCACCATCATCACCATCACCACCATCATCACCGTCATCACCGTCATCACCATCATCAACACCATCACCGCCATCATCACCACCACCATCACCACCATCACCACCACCATCACCACCATCACCACCACCGCTTCACCCCGTCACACTCAAGACGTTCGATCGCAGCACGCCGCGTAAAGGTCACAGAGACAGGCGAGAGGTAAACAGCCCAATGAGGTCATCCCAAGCGACGGGGAATCACCACCACCATCATCACCACCATCATCATCACCATCATCATCACCATCATCACCATCATCATCGTCATCACCACCACCACCATCATCATCACCACCATCATCATCATCACCACCATCATCATCATCACCATCATCACCACCATCATCATCACCACCACCATCATCATCATCGTCATCACCACCATCATCATCACCATCATCACCACCATCATCATCACCACCACAACCATCATCGTCATCATCATCACCATCATCATCATCACCATCATCATCACCATCATCATCATCGTCGTCGTCGATGATGCTGTATTTGTGTGCGTGCGTGCGTTGAACTTTACGTGTGGGTGGCGCAGTGGGTGGCGTCCCGGTTCGATTCCCGGCCCCGGCCACCACCACCACCGCTTACCGACACCACAGGCAAAGATCCCCCGCGTAGCCTGTGGCAGACTGTATGGGCAAGTGCTGTTGGCGAGTAGCAACCCCTATGAAGGCTACCGGCACTGCTCACGAAGGGCGGTGGGTGGCCAGCACCACGCCCGGCCGCCTTTGTCTCCCCCAGCGGCGATGTTTATGCACCGCGCCGGCTACTCGTTTTGAGGCTGAGTCGACCTCGGGGGGGCCCAGGACCGGTTCGGACAGTCGTCACCTGAGGTCGAACCGTGGAGCGGGGCTCGAATTCGGTTAGCCGGGTTCGTGGCGCTGCGCGATAACCACTTCCCCTACCGCTCCCCATCCTCACCTGACACCAGCAATCATTGACATGCAAATACGGACCCCCCCACCCAATGTAAATTCACGTGCGAATTCAAATCGGGGCGGAGGCTGCGTCCGTCGGCATTCCCCCTTTAACCCCCCACCACCGCCCCCCCCCCCCACCTGGAGCACCAACCGCCCCCAAGGGGAGGGGGCTTGAAACCAAATCCCCCCCCCCCACTCCCCCCCACCTCCACAGGTGGGACACGTGACGCGGGGGCCACCTTTGTTCGCTGCCAATGACTCAGTTGGGTCAAGACGCAGCGAGGATTGTGGCCAGACTCACATAGAGACCCATAGACTCACACAGAGACCCATAGACTCACACAGAGACCCATAGACTCACACAGAGACCCATAGACTCACACAGAGTACCCATAGACTCACACAGAGTACCCATAGACTCACACAGAGACCCATAGACTCACATAGAGACCCATAGACTCACACAGAGACCCATAGACTCACACAGAGACCCATAGACTCATACAGAGACCCGTAGACTCACACAGAGCCCCATAGACTCACACAGATACCCATAGACTCACACAGAGTACCCATAGACTCACACAGAGACCCATAGACTCACATAGAGACCCATAGACTCACACAGAGTACCCATAGACTCACATAGAGACCCATAGACTCACACAGAGACCCGTAGACTCACACAGAGACCCATAGACTCACAGAGAGACCCATATACTCACATAGGGACCCATAGACTCACAAAGAGACCCATATACTCACATAGAGACCCATAGACTCACATAGAGACCCATAGACTCACATAGAGACCCATAGACTAACATAGAGACCCATATACTCATACAAAGACCCATTGACTCACACAGAGACCCATAGACTTACACATAAACCCACAGATTCACATAGAGACCCATAGACGCATATATAGGCCCTTAGTCTCACACAGATACCCATAGACTCACACAGAGACCCATTGACTCACACATAGACCCATACACTCACACATAAACCCATAGACTTACATAGAGACCCATAGACTCGCACATAAACCCATAGACTCACACATAGAGCCATAGACTCGCACATAAAACCCATAGACTCACACATAGACCCATCGACTCCTATATAGACCCATAGACTCACAGAGACACCAACAGAATCACAGGCTGAGTTGTGATTCAACCGGGCTCTCAAGTGCAGTGACCTCGCATCAAATTTAGTTTCGCATTTAAATTGTTTAAAGTTCAGCTCTGAGAATTAAAATACCGGTTTGACTGTCACGCCACAAGCATTGACTCGCGTGGCGCAGGGCGCATGGGTGGTACAGTGCTGCCACTTGTGTCGTGTCCGCAAAGTCACGTGACGAGTAAGATATCTCAGATGTAGTTCCCTGGTACTCGCTTCTGTGGGGCCGTTCTGTGTGTGTGTGGACTAGGGTGTCACGTGACGAGTAAGATAGGTAGCTCTGTGACGTCGCTGTTCCAGGACGATCACGATTGGTCAAACGGGACGAGCAGCGCCTATGAAGGCCGGCACGACACACGAGGGGGTGGGTGGCCAGCACCACGCCCGGCCGCCTTTGTCTCCCCAGTGGCGATGTTTTTACGCAGCGCAGTGTAGCGCGAACCACCCCGCCCCCCGCGCCCCTCCCTGGATCACGCCCTCCTCCTCGACGTTTCGGGCGATGACCCTTGTTCATAGCACGTGGATAGCGAGGCCGGCAGAGGTACGCGAGTGGACGATCCGAGTTGGTGACTGCCCTTGATTAAGCGACCGTGCGCGCAGGGAAATTCATGAATGAATACAACATCATCCCGTGAATGTAATTCTGAGACTTAACCACTGCACCCTCCCCCCACCTTCTCTCCCAATCCAGAAACAACCCACCCACCACCCCACCACCCACCCACTAACCCACCCACCACTCACCCACCCCACCACCAACCCACTAACCCACCACTAACCCACCACTAACCCACACACCATCCCACCCACCACCCCACCCACCACCCACCCACCCACCTCTCAAATCCTGGCTCCTACCTCCACGGGTGAGGAATGGCCGCCTCCCAGCTGGAATGCCTCGACGGCGACGTGGGGGTCCTGGGGGGCTTCGGCGGTGGGGGGCCTGGGGGGCCGGGGGCCCTCGGGGGGGCCTCCGCGAGGCGGCGCGGCCGCTCGCGGCTCTCCGAGGCGCAGCGCCTGGCGCTCGAGGCGCTGCTGCAGGGGGGCGAGCGGGCGTACGGCGAGCTGGCGAGCAAGGAGAACCTGCGCGCCTTTCTCTCCGAAGGCGAGGTACGCGCGCGCACGTGTGTGTGTGTGTGTACGTGTGTGTGTGCACGTGTGTGTGTGCACGTGTGTGTGCACGTGTGTGTGTGTGCACGTGTGTGTGTGTGTGTGTACGTGTGTGTGTGTGCACTGACCTACGATCCATCCTGGGTTTAACCAGACTGGATTGTGTGAGGAGCTCACAAATCCTTGAAAGATCTGGGCAAGGTCCCATCGGTGAGCTCCTCCGGCGGGCAAGGCTGCGATGGCTGGGTCATGTAGCCCGCATGCCCAGCCACCGCATGCCGAAACAGCTTTTGTTCGGCCGGATCGAGGGGGCTAAACGGGCGCGGCACGGGCTAGAGAAGAGATGGAGTGGTGTGGTACAGGAGGACGTGGAGCTGAGTGGACTTGCCGATGACTGGTACCAGCGGTGTCAAGATCGGCCTCTGTGGAGGAGGCTCGTGAAGGACGCTATTGGGCAGTTGGAGGCAGTCGCCCTCCAACAACAATGGAGGGCGGAGGAGCAACGCTCACAACAACGAGCAGAGCGCCGGGTGGCTAAAGCACAGCAGGTTGGCACAGTAGGGGGCACAGGTGGTGCATCAGCCAGTCATCTCAGTCAGTCGACCCGTGGCACCTGGGTCTGCCCCGTGACCTCCTGCCAGTGGGCGTTCGACACTTCACGTGGCCTCAGGGTGCACATGGCCTGGCACAAGCGTCGTGGTGGCGGTTGTTGTTGTGTGCACTGTGGGGAGCGGTGGTATAGTGGTTAGTGCTACGCTGCGCTATGAACCCGGCGACCCGAGTTCGATCCCCGCTCACGGCCAACACCCAGTTACGATTATCTGAACCGGTCCTGGGCCTCCCCTAGGTCGACTCAGCCTCAAACGAGTACCTGGTGCGGTGTGTAAACATCGCCACTGGGGAGGCAAAGGCGGCCGGGCGTGGTGCTGGCCACCCACCCCCTCGTGTGCCGTGCCGGCCTCCATAGGTGCTCGCTAACAGCACTTGCCCCAACAGTCTGTTCAAGGCTATACGGGGGATCTTTGTCTTTGTGTGAGTACGAGAGTTGTGGAGAGAGTGCAGAGTTTCCCCGATCTGGGCAGTGTGCTCATGATCAACTCCGGTTTGACAGCAGAGGTCTCACTCCAAATCAGTCGAGCGGCATTATCGTTTCATCGGCTGCGCAATGCTGCTGCTGTGTGGAAGCTACCTGGTCTGTCGCTCCGCACGAAGCTTCGGGTCTTCTCAGCCACAGTCATTCCCTCCCTGCTCTACCCTTGCGAAACGTGGACCCCCCTAATGGAACATCTTCGCCGGTTAGAAACATTTAGGCTGGCCTGCCTACGATCAACCCTGGGTTTAAGCAGACTGGATTGTGTGAGTAGCTCACAAATCCTTGAAAGATCTGGACACATTCCGATCAGTGAGCTCTTCCGGCAGGCGAGGCTGCGCTGGCTGAGTCATGTAGTCTGCATGCCCAGCCACCGCATGCCTATACAGCTTCTGTTTGGCCGCATAGAGGGGGCTAAACGGGCGCGGCACGGGCTAGAGAAGAGATGGAGTGATGTGGTACAGGAGGATGTGGAGCTGAGTGGACTTGCCGATGACCGGTATCAGCGGTGTCAAGATCGGCCTCTGTGGAGGAAGAGGCTCGTGAAGGACGCTACTGGGCAGTTGGAGGCAGTCGCCCTCCAGCAACCAACGGAGGGCAGAGGAGCGACGCTCACAACAACGGGCAGATAAAACACAGTAGGGGGTACAGCTGGTGGTGCATCTACCGATCATCTCAGTCAACCCATGGCACCTGCTGGGTCTGTCCCGTGACCTCCTGTCAGCAGCGAGCCTTCTACACTTCACGTGGCCTCAACGTGCACCTGGCCTGGCACAGGTGCCGTGGTGACGTCACCGCCACTTAGTGGCGAATGACGGCTGTATTGGTATGATTGGTATTGGTGTGTACGTGTGTGTATATTGAACTTTGGCACCGTGCGTAGCCAACCGCGCTAATTGAAGTGTGTAGTGTATAGTAGTGTATAGTGTAGTCTATAGTAATGTAGTGTATATTGTAGTGTGCAGTAGTTTTCACTGTGCGTAGCCAACCGCGCTAATCGGGGGTGCGGGGGAAGGACAACAGACTAAACACAAAAAAGCAGCTCTAAAGAAATGAGTTTGGCAGTCTCGATGATGATGACGATGATTTAAAAGTGCACAGCTCCAGTGGCTTCCTAGTATTGGGAAGCGAGAGCGTTCCAGACGGCCGCAGAAAGTGCCGCGTGACGATGCAGCGACAACCGCCTTTGCTCGATGGCCGAGCAAAAAGCCGCTGCCGCTGTTGCGAGCATAACACAAACCATAATAAAGTATTCTTTTATTTTACCAGGTGAGGCCCCACTGAGCTCTAAAGATCTGTTTTCGGAAGCGAGCTGGCCACAAATGATAGCCCAACGAAGTTGGTTCTTGATCATCATCATCATCACGTGGATATTTATAGCAGTAGGCAAATACTCTAAACGGGCGGCGATGTTGATTTTAAATGTGGAGGGGAAAAAAACCGGAGGACTCGGAGAAAAATCCACGCGACCATGGGTAGAAAGAGAGAGAGACACGCAGACTCCAAATATACAGCAGCAGCAGCAGGCGTCAGGCCCGGGATCAAACCCACGACCTCCTGTACACCAGGCGAGGCAGTTAACATCTCCTAGCCACCACGGCGCTCAAAAGTGGTTGAGAAAATGTGGCCGGTCCCCAACAGCAGCGTCGCCTTCCCCCTGCGTGATGATATAACAGCCTCGCGGCACGCAGGGGCAGCTGCCGCCGGGGGTGCCCCCTAGGCCACACCGCACAGCGGCGACGTCGCCACCCCCCGCTCCGCCCACCGCGGCTTCTCGCCCGCGCCACCGCAGGTGCGCGCCCTGCTGCGGTCGGCGCGGCACGGCGACCCGGGACTCCGGAAGAGGCCGTCGGCCGGGGCCAACGTGACGGCCGACGCCGGCGATGGAGTCGGCGGCGGCGGCGCTTCGACGGGCTCCCTCACCTACTGGCCCGAGCGCTCGGAGCGCGACGCCCCCGACCTCGACCTGGGCTGGCCCGGCTCGAGCGCGTACCGCGGGGCGACGCGCGTCACCGTGAGCGCCCACCCGGGCGCCGACGACGGCGCGCCGAGCCCCAAGGAGACGGTGCGGGAGCTCGTGCAGGGCGCCAAGCAGGTAGGCGAGCGCGTTGGGGAGCTCGGAGGCGGCTCTGTGGTGTCCGCTTCTGTGGGGCCGTTCCGTGCGTGTGTGTGGACCAGGGTGTCACGTGATTAATAAGACATCTCGGAGGTAGCTCTGTGGTGTCCGCTTCTGTGGGGCCGTTCCGTGCGTGTGTGTGGACCAGGGTGTCACGTGATTAATAAGACATCTCAGAGGTAGCTCTGTGGTGTCCGCTTCAGTGGCACCGTTCCGCGCGCGTGTGATTGAGCGAGCGAGCGAGCGCTCGGGCGAGTGAGCGAGCGAGTGACTGAACGGGCGAGTGAGTGAGTGAGCGAGTGAGAGAGCGAGCGAGCGAGTGAGTGAGCGGGCGAGTGAGTGAGTGAGTGAGCGAGCGAGTGACTGAGCGAGTGAGCGAGTGAGTGAGCGGGCGAGTGAGCGAGCGGGCGAGTGACTGGGCGGGCGAGTGAGCGAGTGATTGAGCGAGCGAGCGCTCGGGCGAGTGAGTGAGCGAGTGACTGAGTGAGCGAGCGAGTGAGTGAACGGGCGAGTGAGTGAGCGAGTGAGTGAGCGATGTGAGTGAGCGAGCGAGCGAGTGACTGAACGGGCGAGTGAGTGAGTGAGCGAGTGAGTGAGTGAGCGAGTGAGTGAGTGAGCGAGCGAGCGAGCGAGTGAGCGGGCGAGCGGGCAAGCGAGCGAGCGGGCGAGCGGGCGAGCGACTGAGCGGGCGAGCGAGTGACCGAGCGAGTGACTGAGTGAGTGAACGAGCGAGCGGGCGAGCGCCACTGACGAGGACCGTGCCCCCCCCCCCCCCAGCTGGTGGCGCTGGCCGTGGACGAGCTGACGGACGCGGACGTGCTGGGGGACCTGCTACAGGCGGCGTCCCGTGGTGTCGCCGTCTATCTGCTGCTGGACGCCGGCGGCGTGGAGCCCCTGCTGAACACGAGCCGCGCCCTCGGGGTGGACTTGAGCACGCAGAGGGTGGGGGGCTCGCACGGTGGGGGGCTCAGTGGGGGGGGGGTCACACAGTGGGGGGGGGGGTCAGTGGGGGCAGGGGGGCTCACAGGAGTGGGGGTTGGGGGGGGCTGATGAGGTGGCCTGCGGATCGCGTCATGACACCACACACCGCTACACAGGTACACAAAGACCCCCCCCCCCCCCACCCGTGTAGCCTTCACAGACTGTCGGGGCAAGTGCTGTGAGCGAGCAGCAGCAGCAGCACTGTGAAGGCTACCGGCACTGTGGCACACGAGGGGGTGGTGGGTGGCCAGCACCACCACGCCCTGCCGCCTTTGTCTCCCCAATGCCCATGTCTGCACACCGCACCGGGTATTAACTTCAGGCTGAGTCGACCGAGGGGAGGCCCAGGACCGGTTCAGGTATTCCCGATGCATGCCGCTTGAACTTGGTGACCTGTCACGGTCAACACGAGTGGCGAGTGAGACACCAGTGGATCTTGCACGCGCTTCACCCACCAGCACTGACCAGCGTGGTGAAGTATGGTCACACAACCCCCGTGACTAACAGAGCATCCCACTGGTGTCTCCCCCTCTGTCTCCCTGTCCCCTCCTCTGTCCCCGTGTCTCCCCCTCTTCTTTTCCCCTGTCCCCCGCGTGACCCCCGCGTGACCCCGCGTGACCCCCGCGTGACCCAGAAGGTGCGCGTGCGCTCACTGGGCGGGCTGGAGTTCTGCTCGCGCTCCGGCGCGCGCCTCCCCGGGCGCATGGCCCACAGGGTCATCCTCGTGGACGGGGACAAGGCCGCCACGGGCACCTACAGGTGAGCCTCACCCCCACCCTGACCCCCACCCTGACCCCCACTCTGACCCCCGACCCCCCGACCTTGATACCAACCTTGGTCCTGACCCCGACCTAGACCCCGACCTAGACACTGACCGTGACCCCGACCTCGGCCTTGTCATTGGCTCTGACCTAGACAATGACCTCGACCATGCCCTTGTCATTGACCCTGACCTTGACCCCCGACCTAGACCACCACACCGGCCCTGACCCTGACGTGTGCCAGAGCACGGTCACCCTCCTGGCCCCCTTCCACAGAGGCCGACCTCGACACCGCTGGGGCCGGTCTCCGGCAAGTCCCACTCAGCTCCACATCCTCCCGTACCCCGCATCGGCTCCGCGCCGTGCCCCATTAGCTCCCCCCCCCCCTCCCCACCTCGATCCGGCCAAACAGAAACTGCTCGGGCGGCATGAGGCGTCGTCCGGGCATGCTGGCTACGTGAGCCGGCCTACAAGCAGCACCAAAGACAAAATACAAAGATCCCCCAGTGTAGCCTGTGACAGACTGTAGGGGCAAGTGCTGTTAGCGAGCGCCGATGAAGGCCGGCACGGCACACGAGGGGGTGGGTGGCCAAAACCACGTCCGGCCGCCTTTGTCTCCCCAGTGGCGATGTTTACTACACACCGCACCAGGTGCTCATTTTGAGGTTAAGTCGACTTAGGGGAGGCCCAGGACCGGTTCAGATAATCGTCACCGGTATTGGCAGTGAGCGGGAATCGAACTCGGGTAGCCGGGTTCGTAGCGCAGCGTAGCGCTAACCGCGACTCTAGCGCTCCCCCAAGCACCACCACCACGAGCAGCCCAGCAATCAACCCCCCGCCCATGCCCCCCCCACCCCCACCCCAGCTACACGTGGTCCTCATCGCACCTCGACCGCCACCTCCTCACCGTGCTCTCGGGCCAGGTGGTGGAGGCCTTCGATGTCGAGTTCCGCACTCTGTACGCGCAGTCACGGCCCGTGTTCGGCACCGACTCGCGTCCCACCGCCGCCGCCGCCGCCGCCACCACCACCAACGACAACGGCCGACCGGGGCCCGGCACGCGGCCCGTCTACCCCATCACGCCGAAGGCCATCAACCTGCCCATGCGCTCGGCGGCCAGCCCGCTGTACGCGCTCGTCAAGGCCGGGGCGGCCAATCGGGAGGCCGCGGCCGCCGCGGCCGCCGCCGCGGCGGCCGGTGCCGGAACGGCGGCCGCCGACGCGAAGGACTCGCCGGGGAAGCGTCTGCTGGAGCAGAAGGACGCGCGGAGGGACCAACACCATCAGCATCATCAGCAGCAGCAGCATCATCAGCAGCAGCATCATCAGCAGCAGCAGCATCATCAGCAGAAGATGACGGAGGTGAACGGCGGAGGCCGCGGCCAGGACGTCACGGACCACCTGGGCATCCCGGACTGCGTGGAGCGCCACAAGATGGAGGCGTGCGTCTCCTTCGAGGCGGAGAAGGAGAGCGCCGACGCCGCGAGCCTCTCCCGGGACGCCGCGGTTGCCGCGGCGACCCCGGGCCGCCCCCCTCCTCGTCCGGCCCCTCCCGTTCCGCGTCTTCCGTCCCAGGCGCTCAGCTCGGCCGGCGAGGCGACGCGCGACCCCCTGGCCACCTCGGCCGCAGGGATGCGGGCCGCCTTTGCCAAGTCGGCCCTGGACCTGCGCCCTGTCGGGAAGGACGACGGGGAGGAGGATGGTGAGACGAGATCGCAGGTAAATGGAGGTCGCGAGAGGGGTGGTGGTGGTGGTGGTGGACTGATGGACAGGGTGAGGAGCTTCCTCAAGCGCAGCCCTCAGAAGTCCGGAGTGAAGAAGGGCTCCAGAGGCAAGGCCGGCGTGACCGCCTGAGAGGAGGTCACGCGTGTCCCGTGTGTGTGTGTGTGTGGGGTTCACGTGTGCATGTGTGTGAGTTCACCTGTGTGTGTGTGTTCACGTGTGTGTGTGTGTGGGGGAAGCGGTGGTGTAGCAGACAGCGTGCTGCGCTATGAACCTGGCAACCCAGGTTCGATTTCCACTCATGGCCAACACCAGTGACGATGATCTAAACCGGTCCGGGGCCTCCCCTATGTCGACTCAGCCTCAAATGAGTACCTGGTGCGATGTGTAAACATCGCCACTGTGGAGACAAAGGTGGCCGGGCGTGGTGTTGGCCACCCACCCCCTCGTATGCCTCCACCCACGTGCTCACCTCTCCATCCACGTGATCACCTCTCCACTTACCCCTCCACCCACGTGCTCACCTTTCCACTCACCTCTTCACCCATAAATGCCATGAATGAATTGGAGCCTCTCTGTGAGTCTGTGGGCCTCTTATGTGAATCTATGGATCCCTATATGAGTCTGTTTCTCTATGCGAACCTGTAGATCTCTTAAGTGAGTCTATGGGACTCTATGCGAGTCTATGTGTCTCTATGCGAACCTGTGGGTCTCTTATGTGAGTATATGGGTCTCTATGTGAGTCTATGGGTCTCTATGCGAGTCTATGGGCCTCTATGCGAGTCTATGGGCCTCTATGCGAGTCTATGGGCCTCTATGCGAGTCTATGGGCCTCTATGCGAGTCTATGGGTGTCTATACGAGTTTATGTGTCTCTATGCGAACCTGTGGGTCTCTATGCGAGTCTATGGGCCTCTATGCGAGTCTACGGGCCTCTATGAGAGTCTATGGGTCTCTATGCGAGTCTATGGGCCTCAATGTGAGTCTATGGGTCTCTGATGATTCAATCAGTGAGAGTTTGCCTTCACGTGGAAGAAACTCTAAAGAACAAACAAAAAACACCCAGCATCGCGTACGAGGGAGAAGCGGGTGGGGGGGGGGGGGTACTCTAAGCTCCACACAGATGGATTCAATCATCCTTGTCTGTAATTGCGAACGCTCGTGTTGACCAAGCTATATGGCCTTACCTGCTCTTGCTGGTCTGTCAGGGCTCCAGGCCTTGTATGATATCCCGAGTCCGGACTCCAACCGGTAGCATTACTAGAAGCAGTAGAATTAGTAGTAGCAGTAGTATTATTAGTAGCAGTAGCATTAGTAGAAGAAGTAGCAGTAGCATTAGTAGTAGCAGTAGTAGAAGCAGTAGCATTAGTAGAAGAAGTAGCAATAGCATTAGTAGTAGCAGTAGCATTAGTAGAAGCAGTAGCAGTAGCATTAGTAGAAGCAGTAGCATTAGTAGAAGCAGTAGCATTAGTAGAAGTAGTAGCAGTAGCATTAGTAGAAGCAGTAGCATTAGTAGAAGTAGTAGCAGTAGCATTAGTAGAAGCAGTAGCATTAGTAGAAGCAGTAGCATTAGTAGTAGTAGCAGTAGCATTAGTAGAAGCAGTAGCATTAGTAGAAGCAGTAGCATTAGTAGAAGTAGTAGCAGTAGCATTAGTAGAAGCAGTAGCAGTAGTAGAAGTAGTAGCATTAGTAGAAGTAGTAGCAGTAGCATTAGTAGAAGCAGTAGTAGAAATAGTAGCAGTAGCCAGCCAAGGCTGTAGCGGGGAGTGACCCCGTGACCTCCCCCCGCCGCCACTGTGGGTGGGGGATGGAGGATGGGGGTAGGGCGTGGGGGGCAAGTGGGGTGAGGGGGGTGGGGGATGGGGGTAGGGCGTGGGGGGCAAGTGGGGTGAGGGGGGTGGGGGATGGGGGTAGGGCGTGGGGGGCAAGGAGGATGAGGGGGGTGGGGGATGGAGGATGGGGGTAGGGCGTGGGGGGTGGGGCGCTGATTGCTGCCCGCTTCTCACGCGACGCAGGTGGGATGGAGGAGGGAGCGCGAGAGATACACAGGGAGAGACAGACTTTGTGTTTACTTTTAAACAACTTTTATTCCACAGCAGCAACAGCACTGGAGGCGATTCCAATACGAAACACACAAAGTCACCAGCAACACAAATAACAAAAGCGATCAATCCACGCGCTGTGGCGCTAAAGGCGCCGCGCACAACGCGAAAGAAAAGTCACGTGGTAGTGGTGGTGGTGTTCATCGCGCACGCCACGTTGACGAGCGAGCGCTTCAGAAGGTGAACACGTGGGGTGGTGCCGTCCACGCTGGTACAGAGAGGGGCTTGTCCGGCTCCCCAGCGTTCGAAGAAGACGCGCTGCACATCACCGACACGTGCGTGTGTGGTACATGGCGTGCTCCAGCCAGAGCCGCGCCTTGAGCAGGCCCCTGAGCACTGTAAGCAGCACAGAGCAGCCGGCGACTTCCAGGGTAGCTCCTCCCGGTCGTACAGCAGCCGCCTGACCGCCACGAGCCTGAAGCTCGTGACCCTGGCGGCGACGTCCACCAGACCCTGGCCGCCCTCGCCCACCGGCAGGCAGAGAACGCCCGGCCTGAGCCGCTGCTTTCCCGTGCCAGACGAAGTGCGCGAGTGAGCGGTCGACTCTGGTGAGTAGCCAAGCAGGAGGCTGGAGGGCCTTGGTCTTGTGCCACAGCACGGATGCTGCCAGATTATTAGCGACGAGCACTCGGCCCCTGAATGACATCTGCGGAGCGAGGCGTGGTGCCCATGTCAGTAACTTAGCCTCGATCGTGTCGGCCAGCCCGGTCCAGTTGTTCAGAGCGACGTCACGTGGTTTCCCCAGGTAAACCCCCAGGTACTTGACTCCGTCGTCCCGCCGACTGACTCCTCCTGCGAGGAGCACAGAGCGAACGCCGCCTCGCGACCCCAAACACAGTGGGGGGCCTCGCACTTGGCCCAGTTGGCCCTGGCGGAGGAGGCCCTCTCGTACGCTGCAACCGCCTGGCAGAGCGCGGAGACGTCACGGACGTCATTGAGCACGACGCAACACGTCGTTGAGGATGACGCAACACGTCGTTGAGGATGACGCGTCACGTCGTCGTCTGTGTAAGCCGAGAGCTTGATGACCGCGTTCTCAGGTCCCGGGACCTTGAGGCCAGACAGATTTCGTCTCAGGTGGCGTAGCAGTGGCTCAATGGACAGGGTGGTACAGCAGCCCCGAGAGAGGGCATCCCTGTCTGACCCCCCTCGTCACAGGGAACGGGGACGCCGAGCCGCTGGTTTATCTTCAAGAGGCTGGATGTGCCCCCCGTGTACGGGAGCCTCACGTGCGAGATGAAGGCCTGGCCGAAGCCGAGCGACGTTAGGAGTTTGTCCAAGTACTCGTGGCTCACCCTGTCAAAGGCCTTCTCCTGATCTAAGAAGAGGAGGCCTAAGTCCATGTTGTGCGCTTCTGCAAGGGAGATTACGTCTCTGACCGTACTGATGTTGTCGTTATATGCACCGTCCGGGGATGCAATACGACTGTTCCGGCAGGATCAGCTGACCCAGCACCGTCTTGAGACGGTTTGCCAGCACCTTGGAGAAGATTTTGTAGTCGGCGCACAAAGAGGGACACGGGTCGCCAGTTCACGAGGAGGCGCAGGTCCCCCTTCTTGGGTAGCAGGGAGACCACGGCTCTCCTGCAGCTCTGTGGGAGTTCCCCCTTCCGCAGGCCTCTCCGTCAACAATTGTAGTCGTGGAGGGCCAAGCTCATCCCAGAAGGCCGCGTAAAACTCAACCGGCAGGCCATCAATCCCCGGGGCTTTACCAGCTGCAAGTCCTTTCACAGTGGTGTGGAGCTCCTGCTGCAGGGTGACGGAGCTGTCCAGACGATCTCGCTGGGGGACTCCTAAGGTAGCCCCCTCTAGTAGCTCCTGGACAGCCTCGTGGTGTATGGTTTCGGCGGCGAAAAGTTGCCAGTAGAAATCCGTGGCGATGTGGCTGTTAGAGAGAGAGACGGAGAGAGAGAGAGACACAGAGAGACACAAGAGGCAGAGAGAGACAGAGAGACACAAGAGGCAGAGAGAGACACAGAGAGACGGAGAGAGACAGAGAGAGAGACACACAGAGAGACACAAGAGGCAGAGAGAGACACAGAGAGACAGAGAGAGAGACAGGGAGACAGAGAGAGAGAGAGACAGAGAGAGAGACAGAGACAGAGACAAAGAGACACAGAGAGACAGGGAGAGACAGGGAGAGACAGAGAGAGACAGAGAGAGAGACACAGAGAGAGACAGAGAGAGACAGCGAGAGAGATACAGAGATACAGAGAGAGAGACAGAGAGACACAGAGACAGAGAGACACAGAGAGAGACACAGAGACAGAGAGAGACAGAGAGACACAGAGACAGAGAGACACAGAGAGAGACAGAGAGACACAGAGAGAGACACAGAGACAGAGAGACACAGAGAGAGAGAGACAGAGACACAGGGGTAGAGGGAGAGAGACACGGAGACAGAGAGACAGAGAGACAGCGAGAGAGAGACAGAGAGAAATACAAAGAGAGGGACAGAGAAACACAGGGGTAGAGGGAGAGAGAGACAGCGAGAGACAGAGAAATACAAAGAGAGGGACAGAGAGACACAGGGGTAGAGGGAGAGAGACACAGAGAGAGACAGAGAGACAGCGAGAGAGAGACAGAGAGAAATACAAAGAGAGGGACAGAGAGACACAGGGGTAGAGGGAGAGATGGCAAGAGGCAGACAGAGGGAGAAAGGAGGAGAGGAGAGAGGGAGGGAGAGGGAGAGACGGGTGGGAGAGTTTGGTAGTGAGACGAGGAGAGTAGCGTTCAAAGGTCAGTGGCACTGTGTGTGTGAGTAGTCACACGCCCACATATAAAGGTCCCCCGTCTAGCCCACACAGTTTCGTGGGGCAAGTGCTGCCGGCGAGCACAACCAACTCGGGCCAACACGGCACACACACGTGCCGTGTAAACATCGTCATTCAGGAGAC